GCCTCCCCTGTCTTTTTCTGTTAGTATCTTGAGGATTTCGATAAGATCACTCCTTACCCTTCAAAAGTCTAGAGAAAAGAGGCTCAATTGCTGTAATCTTTCCTAATAACTTAACCCCTGAAGTGCAGCAGTCATCCTTGCAAACCTACATTGTACACTCTGCAAAGCCAATATATACTTCCTGAGGTATGATGCCCAGATCTGCTTGCAGTACTCCAAGTGAGGTTTAACCAGAGTTTTGTAGAACTGTAGCATCATATCTGCAGCCTTATGATCAAGTTTTCTAAATATAAAGGCCAGCTTTCTTGATAATTTTGCACCTGTTTGTGACATTTTAAAGATCTGTGCACCTGAACTTTCAAGTCTGTTTGGACATCCACTGTATTTAACTTCACACCATCTATCCTTTTTCAATCCAAAATGGGTAATCACACATTTGGTTACATCGAACTTCATCTGCTATTGTTTTGCATGTTCATATAGTCTATCGATATCCCTTTGTAATTTTATACTATCATCCCCACTGTTTATAAAGCCACCTAACTTTGTGTCATCAGCAAATTTGAACATATATAAATAATTGAAGCTCTAACGCAGATCTTTGTGGGACACCGCTGGTCATATCCTGTTAAAGGAGAAGGCAGGTTAATGATGAAGCTGATTGTTACCAGAAATGAAAGGAAGGGACAGAATGTATGAACAGGACAGAATGTATGAACGTCACACTGCACCAATGAATCATGCTAGAACACTTTCACAAACAGCAGTGGACGCAGGATCAGTTGTTAATTTTCAATCTGAGAAGATAATTTTTTGTAAAGCAAAGGTATGAAGGGGTATAGACCAAAGCAGATGTATGCAGTTAGGGTACAGATCAGTCATAATCTCACTGAAAGCTGTAACTTGAATTTTCTAATTTTCCAATGAAATTAGAGAGGTAAATGCGTGGCTTGAGAGATGGTGTAGAAGAGAGCTTTTTAGAGTTTTGGAACTTTGGGATCACTTTTGTAAAAGAAGAAAGCTGTTCAGGAGAGATCGGCTTCACCAGAGCAGAAATGGAACTAATCTCCTGGCTGACGGTAAATAGTGTAGTGGGGTGGATTTAAATTTGTAAGGCAGGGGAGTGATTTGACTATTGAGCCTAGCCTTGAAGGCACCAGAGATGAAATGCAGAACAGAGGAAAAAAAAAGTGAGGGAAGGTTTGAGTGTTAACAATGAACAAAGAAATGGCCACCTAATAGACAAGCATGAGGTAAGAGCACAATACATGGAGTATAGTTTTTAAAAAAATTGTGGAACTAGAAGCAGAAATTGCACCAGGGAATATGACAGAGTAGCATTGTCATAAACGTAGATGAAACTAGAACAGGACTGGATGCTTAACATCCTGGGTTTTAAGGTTTTCAGTAGTAACAGCATGTGTTAAAAGGGAGGTAGTTTAATAGTCTCGGTCAAAGATTAACGAGATGCAGTTCCTAAATTAGAATCTAAATTGTTGGAGTTGAGAAACCAAGCGGTGACCAGTAAATGTTTATTGTAGGCCTCAAAATGATGGGGACGAAGTAGAAGAGAGCATTTGTAGACAGATCATGGAAACCTGCAGGACAAGTATGGTTGTGATAGTTGGTGATTTCAATTAGCCTTAGGGTACACTAGGAAAAAGACATAAAGTGTGAGGCATGGAAGGGGAGAAAATGCTTCAATGCGTGCGGGAGAACTTTCTGGAACAGTAAATGTTCATTTCTACCAGTGAGGAAGCCGTGCTGAATCTGGTCCTAGGAAATAAGGCAGGCCAAGGGGAGAATGTCAAAGTGACGGAGGATTTGGGAAGTAAGATCCCAGACTGGAAAATGTCAGATTTTAGGGATCTAAATGTTAAACTGGAGCAGATTGATTGGAAACACATTTTGGTGGATAAAACGGAAAATGGGAAAAGTTCAAGAGAGAGATCAATAGGGTGCCAAGAGATAGTAGGAACTGCTGATGCTGGAGAATCTGCAATAACAAGGTGTAGAGCTGGATGAACACAGCAGGCCAAGCAGCATCAGAGGAGCAGGAAAGCTGACGTTTTGGGTCTGGACCCTTCTTCAGAACATTTTCTGAAGAAAATTGAGACATTGTAAAAGAAGTCCATGGAGAGAGTAATCTATAGGGTCCCAAACAGTGCTCTCACAGGGGGACACAGTGTAAATCAGGAAATACTGGGGCTTGTAAGAAAGGTACAGCATTAATCATGGGTGATTTTCATATGCATGTAGATTGGATTAATCAAAATGGCAAAGGTCATCTCGAGGGAGAATTCATTGAATGTATTAGAGGTTGTTTCTTGGCACATTATGTTTTGGAACCAGCCAGTGAACAGGCTATTCTGGATTTGGTATTGTGTAATGAGGTGGGATTAATTAACAATATCGTTGCAAAGGATCTTTAGGAAAGAGTGATCATAACATACTAGAATTTCAAATTCAGTTGGAGTTTCACCCTAGTGTTCTGAAGTTAATCAAAGGTAACTACATAGGCATAAAGACAGATTTGGCCCTATTGGGCTGAGCAGGAGGACTAAAAGTAAGGAGAGTTGATGAGCAATGGCAGATGTTTGAGGTACGCAATTGCTTCCCAACTGGAATATATTCCAGAAAGGAAGAGACATTGTAAAAGAGGAAAAAGTCATCCACAGCTAAGTAAGGAAGGTAAAAGACAAAATCTAAGGCATGCCATGTTGCAAAGGTGAGTGGTAGGCAGGAAAATTGGGAAACTTTTAAAAGGTTAAAAAAGCTTGCTAAAAATTAATAAAAAGAGCAATGGTAAATTATGAAAGAAAACTGGTGCAAAATATAAAAACAGAGCAAAAATGCTTCTGCAAATATATAAAAGTGAAGAGAATAGCTAAAATGAATGTCTTGAAGGATGAGATTAGAGAGTTAATAGTGGGGATCACTGAAATGGCAGAGAGACTAAATCAGTATTTTGTTTCGGTTTTCATGGTAGAGGACGCTAGTACCATCCCAATAGTAACTGGTAATACAGAGGTTATAAAAGAACTTAGAATAAATCATCACTTGTGGAAAAGTACTGAGCAAACTATCAGGATTGGAGGCAGAGCCTGCATCCTAGGGTCTTAAAGGATGCGGCAATAGAGATAGTGGGTGCATTGGTTATAATATTCTAAAATTGCCTGAATGTGGGAAAAGTTCCAGTGAATTGGAAAAACGTTGATATAAAGCCCTTATTCAACAAAGGAGGGAGGCAGAAAGTAGGAAACTATAGACCAGTACGTTTAATATGTGCTGTTGGGAAATTGTTGGAATCCATTATTAAGGAAGTAATAACAGGACATTTGGAAGGTTAAACCACAATCCATCAGCATGGTTTTAGGAAGGGTAAATCATGTTTGACTAATTTGCTAAAGTTCTTTGAAGATATAACGAGAAAATTGGATAATGGGGATCCTGTAGGCATCTGGACTTCCAGAAGGCATTTGATGAGGTATTGCACAACAAGTTAATATGCAAGATCACATGGGGTTCAGGGTAACTTATTAGCTTGGATAGAGAATTGGCCAACCAACAGAACGCTGAGAGTCAGGATAAATGGATCTTTTTCTGATTGGCAAGATGTAACTAGCAGTGTGCCACAGAATTTGATCCTTGGGCCACACCTATTTACAATCTCTATTAATGATTTGGAAGCAGGGATCATAAGTGCTATAGCCAGTTTTGCAGATGACAAGGAAATAGGTGGGAAAGTAAGTTGGATAGGTGAGAGTTTATCCGTGTTGGTCAAAGGACTCCAAAGGCAAATTGTTATCTAAATAGAGTGTTTCCGAGAGATCTGGACATCCACGTGCATGAATCATAAAAAATTAACATGCAGGTACAGCAGGTAATAAGGAAGGCAAATGGAATTTTGGCATTTCTTGCTTAAGGAATGGAATATAAAAGTATGGAAGTGTTGCTGCAAGTGTCCAAGGCATTAGTGAGACTGCATCTGGAATATTGTGAAGAATTTTGGCTCCCTTAATTAAGGAGGGATATAGTTGGATTGGGGATAGTTGAGGAGGTTCATTGACTCCAGGAATGAGGAGTCTGTCTTGTGAAGAGAGATTGAGCAGTTTAGGCCTTTGCTGCCTGGAGTTTAGAAGAATGAGAGGAGTCCTAATTGAAGTATATTAAATGCTAAAGCGGATTGACAAAGTACATGTAGAAAGAAAACATCTTCATGGAGTGTAATCTAGAATGAGAGTTCATCGTTTCAGGATAAGGGTAGCAGATTTAAAATAGATGAGAAATTACTTCTCTCAAAGGGTTATCAATCTGTAGAATTCACTACCCCAGGGAGTGCTGGATGCTGGGACATTGAGTAAATTTAAGGAGGAGATTGGAAGATTTTTAATTAGTAATGGGTTGAAGGGTTATGGAGATCGAGCAGGAAAGTGGAGTTAAGGCTGAGATGAAATCAGCCACGATTGTATTAAATGGCGGAACAGGCTCGAAGGGCTGAAATGCCTACTCCTACTCCTACTCCTAGTTCTTTTGTTCCTATATACCAGGAGGTTTTATGTAGTGGGATTAGGAATATCTTGGAAATATTCCAAGTTTTATAAATTGCAGAATTTGGGAGTAGAATGTATAATGGACTTTTTAAAAGTATGCGCTGATGGCAGCTTTGTGGCTAATATACAGTTTCAAATGGAGTGCCGTATGAGATATGTTTACAGTCACAATAGGAGCCAGTATACCTGAGGTTATTGCTACAAAGTCTGGAAGTGACTGTGACCTACTTTTCGTAGATGGCACTGTGTAAGAGTGACTGTTAAAGTATACTGTCTCACAGATGGCTATTTTTCCCTTTGGATCATGCTGTGTTTACACAGGTGAACTATCTTTCTACAAAATGAGTAAGGTATTACTTTAGCTAAGTATCCCTGAATTCGTTACAGCAACTGTTGCTATGTTTCTGGTGATGAACTAATGAATTTGTTTCTGATTTCATTCTACAGACCAAGCTGCCTGCGACAATCACTGTGCCTTTATCAGTACTAAACCAACCACTTAAAGGAAAAGGAGTGATGGCAGGACCAATCATCAAGGGTAATCTTGGGGCAAAGTAAGTAATAATCCGGAATATTGTGCACAGGGCTGGTAATACCTCAGATGAATTAAGTAGAGCTGAGGAAATGTATTAAGTGGAGTGTCCCAGGGATCAGAACTAGCATCTCTACATTTCTTTACAAACGTAACTTGGAATCAGAAATTCAGTGTACATTGGTCAGATTTGTTGATGATATTAAATAGAGTATTTTAAAAAACTGGATTTTTGCCTGGTGAGGAGTTGCTTCTGGACTGAGATAGGGTTCAGAAGGGAAAGGTGGAAACCCATTTGTCTGTTTAAACTATCGATTAACAATAAAACCCTTAAAAATCTCTGAAAACCTCTGCCTAATTCAACAGTTGGATATTGACCTGTTAAATACACAGGCTACACCAGGACAACTCTGAGATGAGAAGGGATCAGCTTTTATTACCAGCTTGCATTGTTAAGCAAACCAAGTTAGAGACTTCAATTGCAGGGAGAGGATGAATACAGCATAGAAGATTAAGAGTTAATTTAATTCTTGATGTTGGGAAATCTTTTATAAATGATAATCTGAGACAGAATTAACAGTTGCTTGGACAAAGGCATATAAATTAAGGAAAGCCAACACAGATGTGTTAAGGACAAATCATATTTAACAAAATTGATTTTGATTTTTCATGTGACAGCAGAAAGATTGATGAAGCCACTGTGGTTGATGCGGAGAATGTGATTTTCTGAAAGGCATTTGATAGAGTCCCACATAATTGGCTTGTCGGCAATGTTTAGGTTCACAGGATAAAGGAGAATAGATACAAAGTTGGCTAAGTAGAATGCAGTGAGAAATTATCAGCTTTTGACTTGAAGAAGATATACAATTTGTTCGCCAGACATCAATTCTAGGACCACTGATTTTCTTGATCTATGTTAATTATTTAGACTTGGGCATACACGGTACAATTGCAAAATTTGTTGACAATGAAGGATAACAATAGTTTTCAAGAAACATAAGTTGGTGGCATGAATGGAGATTTGAGAGATGAAGTTTAATGTCGAGTAGTGTGATGTATTTTGGCAGGTAGAATGAGGAGAGACATCACAAAGTAAAGAACATAATTCAAAAAGGGGTTGATGAGAAAGGAACCTGGGGGTAAATTGTGTGCAAATTGTTGAAAATGGTAGGGCTGGTTGAAAAAATGAGCGAGAGTCTGGGCTTTTTTAAAGCGAGGCATAGAGGACAAAAGCAAGGAAGTTACAGTGAGCCTTCAAAAAACTCTAGTCAACCTCAACTGAAGTATTTTGTCCAATTCTGGGCATATCTTCTTTTAAGATATGATGAAAACAGTAGAATGAGTGCAATAATGGATTTATAAGAATGGTGAGGCACTTCACTTACATGGAAAGATTATTTTCCTTGAATAAGAAATTTTATAGAGGTGTTCAAAAATTCACTGGTTTGGATAGAGTACATAGAGAGAACAATTCCCATTAGCAAAGGAGTCAAGAACCAGAGAACAGAAATTTGGAGTGATTAGCAAAAGAACGAAAGGTGACGTGAGAAAGCAATTTTCATGCAGCGAATGGTTAAGTTCTGGAATTCACTGCCTAGAGTGTAGTGACTGCAGGTTCAATAATAACTTTCAAAAGAGAATTGAATAACTGTCTAATGAAGAAAGATTTGCAAAGCTACAGGGAATAGTCAGGGAACTGGAACTAGCAAAAATGCTCTTACAGAGAGCATTGGCACAATAGACTGAATGGCCTCTTTCTGTGCTATAACCATTCCGTGGTAATAGAGATGTTTAAGACGATTAAAGAACTTGATGGTTTTTATGAAGACAAACCATTTTCTCTGGTGGGAAAATCTAGAATGAGGGATTGGAATCTTAAAATTACAGCCATGATGTTTATGAGCGATGTCAGGAAACACTTCCTCTCTCAGTGTACCGTAGAAATCCGGAGCATTACCTGCTAAAAGGCTGCTGAATCTGGGGTAAAATAGGAAATTTCATAACTTAGAGTTATGAAGTGAAAGCAGGTAGACGGTGTTCAGGTACAGATCAGACATGACCTGATTCAGTACTGGAACAGGCTGAGCAAGTTGAATGACCTGCACCTGGTAATTTCAGTTTAGAAACATGCAGTGCGGTATTGAAGAGGAGTATTTTCAAGGATTCTCCTGGTTGCTGCTGGGTGAATCCAGCATGAAGGTGTGGTCACCCTTGCAGCAAGGACAAGTCTTGGCTGAGCAGTGAGCATCTCAACATTCACTGTCAAACCATATAACGAACCAAAGGATGTTGAAGACATAAGAGAGATAGAGAAAGAAAACCTGCCTGTGTAGCTCTCATTTCTGTATTTAAGTTCTGAAAATGCAATAATTTCTCAAAGCATGTTATCTCTTACTAGTATCAGTGGACTTGGCAGAAACATCATTCTCACGACCATGCCAGCAGGGACCAAACTAATCACTGGGAACAAACCTGTCAGCTTTGTCACTGCACAGCAACTCCAGCAGCTTCAACAACAAGGACAAGCTACACAGGTAATACAGGATGGGATAGTGGGATTGGGATATGAGGAAATAGCATGTGTCTTTTTAGTGTTTGGGTGTGCTGGGTATCAGTTACTAAGAAATTGGTTGCAGTTTAAAGTCATAGGTAAGTAAGTTGATTATCACTTTTTGACCCATGTTATAGAGTCATAAAACCGTACAGCATGGAAACAGACCCGCTCGGTCCAACCAATCCATGCCGAACATAATCCCAAACTAAACTCCCACCTGTCTGCTCCTGGTCCATATCCCTCCAAACCTTTCCTATTCATGTACTTATCTGAATGTTTTTTAAACATTGTAATTGTATCTGTATCCATCACTTCCTCAGGAAGTTCATTCCACACGCAAACCACCCTCTATGTAAAAAAATTGTCTCTCATGTTTTTTTTAAATCTCTCTCCTCTCACCATAAAAATGCACCCTAGAGTTTCTGGTCAATGATAGCCCAGTGGTAGTATTGCTAGACTATTCATCAAGAAACTCAGCTAATGTTCTGGTGACCTAGGTTTAAATCACACCATGGCAGATGGTGGGAATTGAATTGAATAAAAAAAATCTGGAATTAAGAATCTACTGATGACCATGAAACCATTGTTTATTGTTGGAAAAATCCATCTGGTTCACTAATGTCCTTCAGGGAAGGAAATCCGATGTCCTCACCCGGTCTGGCCTACGTGTGACTCCAGACCCACAGCAATGTGGTTGGTTCCTAACCACCCTTTGAAATGGCTTAACAAACCATTCAGTTGTACTAATCACTATACAGTCTCAAAAGAAACGAAACTGGATGGATCACCTGGAGTCGACCTAGGCACCAGAAAAGACAACGGCAGAAACAGCTCTGTCAACCCTGCAAAGTCATCCTCACTAATATCTGGGGGTTAGTGCCAAAATTGGGACAGCTGTCACGCAGACTAGTCAAGCAACAGCCTGACATAGTTCTACTCGTGGAATCATACCTTACAGACAATGTCCTAGACACGACCATCACCATCCTTGGATATGTCCTGTCCCACTGGCAGGATAGACCCAGCAGAGGTAGCAACAGAGTGGTATACAGTTGAGAGATAGTTGCCCTGGGAGTCCTCAACGTTGACTCTGGACCCCATGAAGTCTCATGGCTTCAGGTTAAACATGGGCAAGGAAACCTCCTGCTGATTGTCGCGTATCGTACAAGGACAGACAGACAAAGAAGTCAGACAACCCTGCCATGGCAACCGCCACAAAAAATGCCAGATGATTGACATGGATAGTACCGTTACAGGTTGTCTGTCTTCCTCCTCTGAAGACCGACACAGAATACAACCGATCGAGTATCCTTTGTCGTCTAGTACTTCCCTGGAGTGGAGAAACTACGCATGTTCTTTGCAGCCTTCAACATATCATCAATGATGACAAACATCCCACCAAGATCATCCCCATGCATCCACTTGTTGCCTTCAGAAAACGGCCAAACCTTAAACAGACCATCATTTGCAGCAAACTACCCAGCCTTCAGGTCAACATCAACCTTACAATCCTGCCACGGCAACTGCTGCAAGACAGGCCAGATCATTGACATGGATATTATCACGTATCTGCCATGTACATGGCAGATACTCCTGTGACTCGTCCAGTGGATGTCCCAAGGCTTAATATATTGGTGAGACGATGCAGAAGCTATGACAATGGATGCATGGACACCGCGCAACAATCACCAGACAGGAATGTTCCCTCCCAGTCGGGGAACACTTCAGTGGTTAAGGATATTCAGCTGCCGATCTTTGGGTAAGCATACCCCAAGGCAGCCTTTGAGATACACAACAATGCAGAATTGCCGAGCAGAAGCTGATAGCCAAGATCCATATCCAAGAAGGGGGCCTCGACCGTGATCTTGGGTTCATGTCATGCTACATGTAACCCCACCACACCGATCTGTAGTTGTAAAATCTGCCTTACTGTCCTGTTTTGACACCGTCACCTTGAATAAATTGTAGTGATCTCTCTACCTTAATTGGTTTGTACAGTTTTGGATTGCTTATTATCTTGGTTAGACCCTTGACATGAGACTGTTGTGTTATTCCAGTCATTTGGTTTGTCTCCAGCACCAACTTATTTTTAATTTTTTGTAATTATCTCTCTGCCTCATTTAATTGGATTATAGGTCACCTTTTGCTTGTTCTTCAGATATTGACACTTTACTCACATTGTCTGATATTCTTGATCACCTGCAGAGACTTATTGTTCGGCCTGTCAACATTCCACTCACACCACTTGTATGATCTTTTGACCTCTCTGCCTATCAATTCTGTGCCTCTCTCACTTCACCTGACAAAGGGGCAATGCTTCAAAAGCTTGTGATTTCAAATAAACCTGTTGGACTTTAACCTGGTATCGTCTGATTTCTGACAATCAAAAAGAAGTCTATTATGCAAAAGAGATTAAGATAAAAGAGAATAAACCAATTGACTTGCTTATGACGCAAATTTAAGGATTTCAAAACACATAACAAAATACAGTCGCATTGATCCCAAACATACTTATACAGCACTCACCAGAGAGAATTCCCTTCTCTTTCACATCTATAGGCTAAAACTAACTCTAATTTTAATCTCACATCTTGAGAATCTGGTAGTCTTCATTCATCATAGACTTTCCCAGCTTTAAGTCACCCCTTCGTGGTTTTAAGCAACACTTAAGGAACTTGCAAACTAAACTCTTCATATAGAGATAACTTATTTACTAACAGATCTAAACCATCTCCCTTCTTTAAGAGCAACTCTTTTACACATCTGACTTCAGCCAAGAATTCTGAAACACTGCCAAACTGAAACCTCGAAGCTGCTTTTTGTAAGCTATGGGTGTTTCCCCTAAACAAACAAAAAAAATCTAATGCACACTGTTTAATATGTTTGTTCATAAACTCTCTTGGTAAAATAAACCCCCTCTACTCTCCAGGATCTTTCTCCTTCTAATGCTGTGCTTTAAAAGAAATCACCATGGCTACAGAAGTACTAACAAGTTAATCATTAAACCCTTCATAGACACAGCCCAAAACTCTCATACCAGCAGCAAAAATCCAAACACTAAAATAACTGATCTTAAAATATGTATAAATCAAGGTGTGTGTGTATTGTACATATGTGTGAATAGGGGATGTGTGTTAATAATCCCATTTTCCACCATTATTGATGCTGATGGGATCCCCAGAGAATCTCCAGTGTTCTCTGTTTGTCGAGGAGATTGTGAGAGGCATTCGGTACCAATCAGCTGGTGATATCTTCACCCTGCATCTGTGGAGAAGTGAAAGTTCCTCCTTTTCTTGTGGGGGGAGGATTAATGGAGGCCAAGACAGTAGATCTGTACACACTGGAATGCCTGAACACCCAATGTGAAGTGTTACTTCAGTGACTGTCCGAGATAATTCATCCCCAGTATCAATCCGTATCAGTTGATGAGGGTTTTTCCTCATAACAAGCAGTAAGGATTTGCTCTCTATAACAGTCAATGAGGATTTATCTTCTTGTCGTGCCCTATCATTCAGCCTTTCTCACTTTGTTTTCAGGTACGGATTCAGCACTTACCAGCTCAGCAACTTCACCAAGGAACAGTCATCAGCTCCACCAAACCTATTTCTACTGTCGTTGTGACAACCGCACCATCAGTGAAGCCGTCACAGGACCAGTGATTATTGGAACAGCACTGTCAAACCTGTGGACCCAGAGGGTGTTATTTATTACCCAGATCTTCCATTATATATTCATTATTTCATGAAGTTGTTTCATTGGCAGCTGTGCCCAATGCTTGGGGATCTGCTCCCTCTTTCCCCTTGTATTGACTGAAAGTGTCAGTGAAGTATTGAAATGTTAAAACTATATCTTTACAAATCTGTACAGTAAATGCAATAAAAAAGAAAGTCTGTTGTGCACATGATGTACCAGGAATCTTTTCTGACCAACAGGGCAGTAATACGTGCACAGTGAACACAGACTGACACTTCATCACCCATGTCTGATGATCCCTAATTATATGCCAGTCTGTGGCAACATCACAGATCTCTAGTACTGCTGTGGGCATCCTCAGCACCCCTCAGAGGTGATGAAACATCAGCATTGAACCCTGCTCCTGATCACAAGTGAGTCTGTATGTGTAGATATTATAACATTGCTGCCTAGCAATGGGTGAAGCTCCTGCCTATAAGAGGCAGTGGGGAGGAGCCAGTTCAACACATTGCAAGATCCTGTTTGTGGACATGTAGTTTTCTTTTATTCTTTCACAATGTGGCCATCACAGACAAGGCTAGCATTTGTTGCCTTTGAACGGAGTGTTCGCTAGGCTATTTCAGAGGGTGGTTAAGAGTCATCTGCATTTCTCTGGGTCTGGAGTTACATGTAGGTCAGAACACAGGCAAGGATGACAGATCCCTTTCCGTAAAGGGCAAGAGTAAACCCTTTTTTTTGACAATCCGTGATAGCTGTTACCATTACTATCTTCATATTTCAGATTTATTAATTGAATTTAAATTCCACCAGTTACTGTGATGAGATTTGAGCCCATATTCCCAGAGCGATAGCCTGGGCCTCTGGATTACTCAACCAGAGGTATCACCTGTATGCCACTGCCTGTCCAATAGTGGTGTCTGCATTAACATTTCTTTGAAGCATGCTTTGAATGCTGAACATGTATGGTCTTTAAGGTGCTGTGTATCTAAGTCACTCCTTACTGCACTGTTTCAGTCATTGTCAGTAGAAGCTTGTTTATTGTTGCTGCCTTCACAGCAGCTTTCTGTTTGCACATGAGGATTTGTGAAGGATGGTTTTGGAAAATGGGATTTTTCAGAAATTCTAATCACCAGGTATTGGGTTTGCAGTAATGATGGTGTTGTTCCATTGTCTGTATTTTGTAGCGTAGATAAATGTTACAGATCACTTCAAACCTTAAACTTAAAAATCCTTCGTAAATTAGAGTTTACCTTGTTCAGGAGATCAGGATGTAGGATTGGAGATGATAGTCAAGGAAAGAAATTGCCTGTGGGAGTGGTCAACTGACCTCTTAACAGTAACCACAATGTAGGACAAAGTATACAAGAAGGAATGTTGGGTGCTTGTATGATTTAATCTACATATAAACTGAAAAACCAGATTGCCAATGTACCTGGATGAAGGGTTCAGAGAATGCTTTTGAGATTGTTTCTAACAGTAGCCTGCTCAGGAATCAGCCAGAGTGCAGGTTACATTAAACTTAGTATTGGGTTATGAGACAGAATTAAATCATGACATCAGAGTTAGGGCGCCCATGAAGAACAGCAAGAATCTGAATTCTACGTCCAGTTTGAAAGGGAGAAGATTAGCTGAGCTAGCTAAAGTGAATTGGCTTACTATACTGCGGGATAATCAATGGAGGAGCAGCAACAGATGTTATTGGGGATATTTCAAAATAAATATATTACTACTATTACAGCAAATTGCCATCCGTGCTTAACTAAAGCAGTTAGGCAAAGAGTCATAGAATCCCTAGTGCAGAAAAGGGCCATGAAGCCCGTCGGGTCTGCACCAACCTTATGAAGAGCATCCCACCCAGACCCAGCTCCCCCGTACCTTATCTTCATAACCCTGCATTTCCCATGGCTAATCCACCTTGCCTACACCTCCCTGGACAATATGGGCAATTTAGCATGGCAAATCCACCTAACCTGCACATCTTTGGACTGTGGGAGGAAACCGGAGCACCCGGAGGAAGCCCACGCAGACAAGGGGAGAATTTGCAAGCTCCACACAGTCGCCCAAGGGTGAAATCGAACCTGGATCCCTGTCGCTGTGAGGCAACAGAGCAACCGTGCCGCCCAACTCAAGGAAAAACAGGTCAGATATTGGAAAGAATATAAACAATGTTAGAGAATGATTAAAAGACTAACCAGTGAAAGAAATTGATTTGAGAGGATGCCAGCTAGATATATAAATTGAATAAATGTAAATAAGTAATGTGAGTTTTGGATCTCAAGAATGAGAATGGGTTATTGGTGGGATCATAAGGAAAAGTGGATGACGTGAATAAATATTTGGCTTCATTCCAGTAATAGCTAGTGGTGGACTGGAAAGTAGCAAATATAACTTTTCCTTTCAAGAAGGAAGGGAGGGGAAACGAGAGAGGAAACAGCCAGAGAGCTTGATGTCTGCTGTGAGGAATATATTAGAATCAAACATTAAGAAAATTAAAGCTTTTAAAACAAAACTGAATCAGTGAGAGACAGCATGGTTTTGTGAATGGAAAATTATGTTTAATTTATAGGAGTTTTTTTTGAAGGATAAAGGGGAACCTGTAAATGTATTGCACTTAGATGTGCAGAAGGCATTTGACATGATGCCACAAATATGGTTATTGGATAAAATAGGAATTTGTGATATGGGCTGTTATATTAACATGGATAGAAGATTAGCTGGCTGGTAGAAAACAGAGGATGTGATGAATGCAGTCCCATGGGGGCCTGTGCTGAAGCCTCAGCTTTTTACAATTTATATCAATTACTCAAGAGTCATAGAGATGCACAGCATGCAAAGAGACACTTCGGTCAAACTCGCTTATGTCGACCAGATATCCTAATTTAATCTAGTCCTATTTGCCAGCATTTTACCCATACCCTTCTAAACCCTTCCTATTCATATACCCATCCAGATGCATTTCAAATGTTGTAATTATACCAGATTCCACCACTCTTTTTGGCAGCTCATTCCATACACACACCACCTTCTGTGTGAAAAAGTTGCCCCTTAGGACTCTTTTAAATCATGTCCCTCCCATCTTAAACCAAGCCCTCTAGTTTTGGACAGCCCCACCCTGGGGAAAAGACCTTAGCTATTCACCCTATCCATACCTATCATGATTTTATAAACTTATGTAAGGTCATCCCTCAGCTTCCGACTTGCCAGGGAAAATAGTTTCAGCCTCTCCCTTTGGCTCAAATCTTCCAACCCTGGCAACATCCTTGTAAATCTTTTCTGAACCCTTTCAAGTTTCACAACATCTTTCCTAGAGCAGGGAGACTAGAATTGCATGTAGTATTCCAAAAGTGGCCTGACCAATATCTTGTGCAGCCACAACATGACCTCCCAACTCCTGTATTCAATGCACTGACCAGTAAAGGCAAGTATACCAAAGGTTTTCTCACGATCCTGTTGACCTGTGACTCCACTTTCAAGGAACTATGAACCTGCACTCTAAGGTCTCTTTGTTCAGCCACACTCCCCAGGACCTTACCAGTCTTTGCTTTTCCAAATACATGTAAATCCTATCTCTCAGAATTCCCTCCAACAACCTGCCCTGATTTGCCTTTCCAAAATGCAGCACCTCACATTTATCTAAATTAAACTCCATCTACCACTCCTTGGCCCATTGGCCAATCTGATCAAGGTCCTGTTCAACTCTGAGGTAACCTTCTTCACTGTCCGCTACACCATAAATTTTGGAGTCCTCTCCAAAATTACTAACCATACTTCCTATGTTCACATCTAACTCATTTATATAAGTGACGAAAAGCAGTGGGCCCAGCACCAATCCATGTGACACACCGCTGGTCATAGGCCTCCAGTCTGAAAAGCAACCCTCCACCACCACCCTCTATCTTCGACCTTCGAGCCAGATCTGTATCCAAATGGCTTCAATGTGATCTAACCTTGTTAACTAGTCTACCATGAGGAACCTTGTCGTACGCCTTACTGAAGTCCATATAGATCATGACCACTGCTCTGCCCTTGTCAATCCTCTTTGTTACTTCTTCAAAAAGCTCAATCAAGTTAGTGAGACACAATTTCCCATGTACAAAACCATGTTGACTATCCCTAATCAGTCTTTGCTTTTCCAAATACATGTAAATCCTATCTCTCAGAATTCCCTCCAACAACCTGCCCATTACTGATGTCAGGCTCACTAGTCTGTGGTTCCTTGGCTTTTCCTTACCTCCTGTCTTCAATAATGGCACCACATTAGCTAACTTCCAGTCTTCCGGCACCTCCCCTTTGGTTATCAGCAAGGGGCCCAAAAATGACTTCCCTAGCTTCCCACAAAGTTCTAGGGTACATCTGATCAGGTTCTGGGGATTTATCCACCTTTTGCATTTTAAGACATCCTTTGTCATATGAATACTTTTCAAGATATCAGTAGTTATTTCCCCATACCATTCTCCACAGTTAACACTGATGCAGAATACTCATTTAGTATCTCCTGTGCTTCCACACACTGGTGGCCTTGCTATTCTCTCCCTAGTTACTCTTTTGTCCTTAATGTATTTGTAGAATCCCTTTGAATTCTCTGTACCCTATTTGCCAAAACTATCTATGTCCCTTTTCTCACCTCCTGATTTCCCTCTTAAGTATACCCCTACTGCCCTTATAACTCTTCTAGGGATTCACTTGATCTCTGCTGTCTATACCCAATATGTGCCTCCTTTTTATTGATCAGAACCTCAATTTCTCGAGTCATCCAGCATTTCCTACACTTACCCTTCAACCTGACAGGGACATTGTGTCAAGAATCTTGTTATCTCAGGTTTGAAGGCTTCCCAATTTCCAACACTTCCTTTACCTGCAAATATGCACCCCAATCAACTTTTGAAAGTTCTTGCCTAATACTGTCAAAATTGGCCTTGCTAAAATTTAGAACTTTAACTTTTAGATGAGGTCTATCCCTTTCCAGTATTATTTTAAAACAAATAGAATTATGATCACTGGCCCCAGAGTGATTCCCTCACTAACACCTCAGCCACCTGTTCTGCCTTATTTCCCAAGAGTAGGTCACGTTTTGCCCCATCTCTAGTGGGTACATCTAAATACCGAATAAGAAAATTTTCTTGTACAAACTTAATAAATTCCTCTCCAACCAAGTCCCTAATGCTATGGCAGTCCCAGCCTATGCTTGGAAAGTTAAAATCCCCAA